CTTTTTGAGTAACTGTAACTGTAACATGTTACTTTTCAGAGTTGGTAACTTGTAACAGTAACTAGTTACTTTTTGAGAGACAAAAACTGTAACTGTAATTAGTTACTTTTACAAAGTAACTTTCCCAAACCTGTATAACAATCAGCCAATTCGTGATACCAGGGTGAGTAATAGCGCAAAGCGTTAAGGCGTCGGTCTATATGTATATATATGTATAATATATATGTGTATATTATATATACACGGACACACACAGGCGCACGCATGTACATAGTGTCTTGGAGAAGGTGCGTGCCAGTGGTAATTTTCCCTACTTTTCGAGATAGTGGGAGCCGATTTGTTTCTTAAAAAAAATACAACTCTTAAAGATTCATATATTATTTCTTTGATTTATAAATCGCAAATTTAAAGCAGCTTCGTAATAATAAAATGAAAGGAGAGTTCTCTTTTATATGAATTGAAAATTGAATATATATAATATAAAAATATAATATTTCTTCATACATGATTATATTTTGAATATTCAAGAGAAAAAAAACTGCATAAATACTCTCTGACTTATGTATATTAAAATATTAATTAGAAATTTTTGCATACTATTTTTTCCATTGTTGGATAATAAATTGTTCAAATCCTGAAAAATTTTTCATTAGTTTTTAATCAAATTTTGTAAATGAAGGAAATGAGAAATAAAAATTTCAAGATTTGATTAATATAGTAAATTTTTGTCTCTAATTAATTTCTGTTAATTAATATTATACTTGTATTCCTTTATTCTCATAAAAAGAATATAAAGAATATCTTGTATATAAAAATACTTCGAAACAAGAAAAAATCAATTTTGTCAGAAAGAAATTGTTATATATTGCAGAGAGAAAATTCATTCTTTCAATTTCATATGTTGTGAACATTCATAGCATATGAAATACAAATACGGACATAGTTCTTGTCCTAGTACAACATGTAGAAAAATAGGCACAACGAACTTTTTACGACAATGAGAAAAAATCGACGCAGATTACTCGAAGGTTAAGGTAAAGCTATCGCCAGCCGTGCGCTCCTCTTTCTCCAAACACCCTGTTTATGCGCGCTTATATAAAATAATCGTCATAACTAAGGGGGCGCGTACCCCTCGTCCTCAATATCGCACTGCAGCCCGATCCACATAATCCCGGCGTGGCCGACACCCCGCGGACCGAATTTCTTCGGATAGCAAGCTGTTAAGCAGACAAGCGCATCATATATAGTGAAAGTGTAGAAGCCGAGGCGGGATTTCTCTCTCTCGCGTGCTTCCCATCTTAGTCCCGACTCTGAAAACCCACCCATTGGCGTAGCAGTCACTCTGCAGGGCGCCGCCACCCTGGCCGTAGCCATAACCCTTCGGTCCGAACCTCTTTCCGTAGCATACTGCAGACAATATCGATTAAAGGTTTCACGTCGCCTAACGTTATCTCGTCATGATGGTCAACGACAAAGATGTAATCGTACAGATACACCAATGCAATCTTTCATTTTTATATACAAACTGTTCTGTGTCGTCATACCAGTTTGTCCTATGCATTAAACGCATAATGCAATGCAAAATAATGAAAATTTAATGATGTTTTGATGTACACTTGATTCTAGAATTTCCAGATATTTTTTAGCGACGGTCGATTTAATGAAATCTTGCGGATTTCAGATTCATGTAATGTATTAATGTCACTTTAATATGAATTAGAAAAATATTCCTTGTCTACGTCTCTTTTTTAAAACTATATCTGTTTAAGGCGGAGAAGAGCTAAAAATAAAATTCTTCTTTTCGATTCTCTCACATCAATTCTCTCGGTCTCATAATATTTAATGATCAATATTTTAGTAAATTCATGTGTTATTCAGCGGCTCACATGTGTAAAAAATATCTGCGCATATGTTAAATTATTAATTCTGTATTGCATCTCGCATATCTTGTACATTACATCTTCATTCGCGCGATTCGTACCGTGTCCTCACCTTTGCAATAAATGTCCTTATCAGGACCTTCGCAGCAGTTGACGGAGTCTAATCTTTTCGAGCAGTTGGCACACTTAAAGCATTCCCTGTGCCATTGCTGCACGAAACACAAAAGGATGGGTTAGTCACTAAAAGTTTCGAGGAGAGGCGAAAGTACTATTGTACAATATTATTTTCTTGTACAATCGTTCAGGAGCGTAGACATTAAAAGCTCCTTACAGCCCGCCAAGATATACGTTTCGAGATTCATGTGCAGTAACAACACATAATGCTACTGTAGATCTTTATTCTTCTTTAATATTTATATTGTTCTGATTACTCTTATAAAACTCTTTCTTATAGGCCGGCTTATTAAAAACATCGCTTTTTTTGCAAAAAAAGTATTTTCGTATAGTCTAGTTTTAAATAAAAATAAAGATTAATTTTCTATAACATTTGACAGAAAAAAGAACACGTCAATATTGATGCAATTATAAGAAATAAAATATATATTTTAAATTTTCGACAAAGTATTGCGAATATTTTATAAGCATTAAAAGTTTATAAAACTGAAAGTTTTAAGTTTAAAATAGAAAAATCAAAATTTGTTTTGAGGTCCTATTCTCCATTATTTCTTAATAACATTTTATGATATCTTTATAATAATTAAGTTAAAGTTTTATTGATGAAATTTTGTGTGTCACATTTATAGTCTACTTATTTGTTTGACTAATTTAAAATTTAAAAATCTTAAAAATTTTAATTTTTATTAGAAAATTATTAAATAAAACTTATTACTAAAACTTAATATTAAAACTAACAGCATTTTCACTAATAATATTTTCCGTAATTTGATCTCTCGTATTTATGGTTTCCTGTAATACTTGGAACGGTAATTCTGGAACATGGCGGTCCAGCAATCTAAATTCGCTCGGAACAAATAAACAGCTATTCGTGCGCCTAACAAGAATGAGAAGAAAAAAAATGAAAGCATAGTCGAGTCTTCTTCTGTGATACTTTGCAGCCCTTGTACGTTCGGGGGCTGTTTCCTGGCGGCGCGGAAAGAGTTTATAAATCGATTTTAGTAGGTAACAACAACAGTACAATAATGAACTGAAGTCAGAGCGGAAACGGACGGAGAATGTATAGACAGATAAATAAATACGTTCAAGGAGATGATAATCGTTCAACGTTTGAGAACGTTTCAGAACACAGGACTGTCAGTACGGATGTTTGTACAACAAAATCGAGACAAAATTAAGGTAACTGGCGGAGCCATGAAGGGGATTGCAGATTCTTTAGATGGAAGATACCTCGACAGTATATCTCGCGGTCGGGACCATCGCAATGAAGCGTCGAGTCCAGAGTGCGGCGGCACAATTTGCACTTGAAGCACAGTTTATGGTAAGCCTAATCACAAGAACGAGGATTGACGAAAAACGGCGGTCAAATGAAAACTGACGACGTTATTATCGGTGCTATTCTTGGTGCCGCGACGAATCGTCGAATATCCTACTTCAATTTCCAAATTTCGCTCGTCAGATGGAAAACGCCTTAAGAGAACTTTTTAGTACTTTCCTGAATTCTACAACAGGCGAAGATGTCGAATATTAGAGAATGCGTCCGCGTTAACGTAATTCAAGATTTAAAAATTCTCATGAAGTGGCATATTTTATCGAAAATTTCTACAGAGATGCAATTCTTCTCGTTCAAGGGAGAAGCGAGCGGGAATTGCGTAATTCGAATTCTCGCCGCGCAAAGAAGCGATTTCAAGCGATATACGTCGATGAGTCATGGACGACGAGAAAGATGGATTGCCATCGCCGTTTTCGCGCGCGGATTATCCGGCTGGACCAGATTGTCGGCCAGCAATTAGCCTCCATTTCTCTGGGTTCCGCGCGGCGCTCCTTCTGGTAGCGAGCCATTTTATCGCCGGGTATCGGGCCGGCTAAGATTGGCCGGCCAGTTGGGACGTCGCCAAAATCGTTCTCTGACGAAACCACCGAGAAAGTTTCTGGGCTAGCATCCCCCTCGGTCCACAGAGCGAGTCCTCCTCCCCCTCCCATCTCCCCCTTCTTGCGAGTCCCTCTCCCCCTCCCGCTCCTCTCTGCCGCCGCTATTTTTTTCCTCACATTGTTATGAAATGGAGATTGGATAAGATTACGGGGACGCGTGACGCGGCCCATTACCACGCGTCGCGTGCCGAATTTAGACGCGCGGCAGAGAAGCCACGGAGAAGCGGCGGCTACGCGCCGCGCCGCGTTACCGCAGCTGTTTTGTAACCCGCGCGGCGCATTTTTATCGCGGCGCGGTTCCGTCCAGATTTTCCGAAATACACGTGAGTAAGCGCGACGAGAAGAGGACGCGCCGATTGCGTCAATCTGTCTGTCGCCGCGTCAGCGACCGATTTTATTGCTTTGCGTGCTAAATCGCGCTACAATCCGCGCTATACGAACCGCCCTCGCCCTCGTTGAAATATCCGCGATGCGCGATTCGAGGTTGGCCGCCCACCCACAGGTATCGCCTGCAGCGCGCACCTGAATAAGGCCGTGATTCGAGAGGAATATGTACGAAAGGCTATTTTCGATTTCTATTATCTACCGAAAACAGATGCAAAATCAGTTGAGGAATTAATTGAGAAGAACAAATAAAAATCATATTCTCGTGTTTTGACTTACGGATTAAAAGTTAATTGCGAATCTAATTATGTAAAATTTATCGTTCTGTAGAATTGATCCCTACAATATCTCGAAACTCGCATGCTTTCTATCAACCATCTCCAATGAGTAAAAGATTAATAGTCTACTCAACGTATCCGAAAGATTAATGGAAGAACTGTATAGTTGATGTTTGACTGAGATATGTCGATTCTCGTTTAATCTCTAAAATCGCGTGAGCGAACGATCAGTCGAAGCACCAAGGAGACGCAAGACTTCTATCTCGTTGTGCATTTAACGCTAAATACAGCCAATGCAATTGCTACACGTCAGTGATGTTCGAACAATTAAACTTTAATGTGTTAATAAGGATTTCTTAATTAATTATTTGCCGGTATCTCTATTCTTGTCGCATTTAGTGTTAAATGCACGCCTGTCTCTTGAATGGAACTCACCCTTCCTCGGGCCAACATCTGCTCGGCGGCGTAAACGTACCCTCCGCAGCGAGGACATCCCTCTCCCTCCGGTGCCTTGGCGATAACCCGCGGCTCGAGAATTGCGTTCGAACCTCGCGAAAATTCACCCCTAAAAATACAAATCATATTAAAATTCACCAACCAATAAAGTTTATATATTATCATAAAGTTCAGAGGTAAAACGAATTACTTTATTTGATATCACTTTTATAATTTATATTTATAATACTTCTTTCGTGAATTATTATAAATAGCATTTTATAGGATTAATTGAGACGATATCTATTAATAATTAATTCGTTTTATCTCATGATTTGATGTTCAAATGTAAGCATCGAATGTAAAAGCCATTAAACACAGAAGCGTACAGATAAAGGAATGAGATCAAACAGTGAAATTGATGGCTCACATGTAAAATAATAGCTATAATAATTATAAAATAAAAGTATAGTAACTGTGGAACAATTGTCGAATAATTAATTGGAATTAGATTTTTTGAAGTAATACAGATTTTTCAACTCAAGATTATATTAAACACTTAAGGAATTCGAATCTAAAAATCTAAAGTATGTTTTTCGAAACTGATTTAAATATATTACAGAGAGATGTACAAGAAAAAAATTGAGAAGAAAAAATGGAAAAGAAACTGAAGCTATATACAAGGGCAATTTAAAATATATGCAAGTGACAAAAATATTTTTGCTATTAAAACAAAAATATAATTATCAAGTATTATTAATTACTAATAAGTATTAATAAGTATTAATAACTAATTATCAGATAATTTATAAGATTATCAGAATTGATATCATTCAATCGTCGATCAAGAGCATCAATGAAATACTTTGCAGGGAAATAAAAAACGTGAGGTATGTATTATGTATATAAATTGAGGAAATTATTGAAATACATATTGCGATCCTTCAATTCCATGTCTGAACACTATATCAGTCTGTAAGAACAAATAGCGCTATCAAGACACCTAATTCCGACGAATTCTTCGAATAATCGAAGAGGAAATAATGTTTTGTTTTAAAATATCCAAAATTTTCAGCATTTTGATCGTAAAGTAAATAGAAAATTTAAATACACGGATAATATCTGTGTAGACAAAATGCTTAGTTTCCATTTGATAATCCAGAAAAATATTATATTGCTAGCCTTGCGAAAAATCAAATTTTCTTAATTTCATCTACAATGTTCTCAGAATATCGCGTATAACAGTACTTATATCAAATGTAGACTTCAAACTTATCTAAATTTTCCAAACTCCGAAATGTACTGCAACCAAATTTTATGTAAGGTCAAAACTTTTTGTTTCGATTATTTTATTAACAGTTAATATCTTGCATTATATCTGATTTTCAGTTGGAGACATCGAAGAAACCTACGTCGGATTTCGATAAGGCCGGGAAATAACATAAACATAAATAAATACATCAAATAACATTATGGATTAGTTTGTTAGGCAAGTGTTAGTCAATGTTAGTTAGCGTAATTTTTCCCCTTCGCAACCACGGTACGTGGCTTCCGCCGAGCCCCGAGAGAGGAGAGCCGAGAAGCAAACCGTACGGCATAATTTGTATCAACGAATAATATATGTCAAAAGAGAACAGGAGAGATAGACGGAGAGAGAAAGAGAAAGAGAGAGAGAGAGAGAGAGAGAGAGAGAGAAAGGGACGGGGAAAAGGGGAATATAGTGCCGCCGTGTCGGGTACAGTGTGGAGAGCCTGTGCGCGCGTACGCACGCATCCGTACCGTGAGGTGGAACATTATCGACATAGTGAGGTGACACCGATCGTCCCTGTCTTCCTTGTAGCGCGACAATTGCGCCGCTGAGATGGGTTTTATATTACGGTATATATAGTATATACAGCGGAACACATGAACGGTGCAGATGCACATGCACTTATCACGATTGGTTGTTGGATTCGTCCCGTCGGTCCAGAACGATCCAAAAGCGAAGTGGACACAGTGTGTGCTTGATCGCATTATGTGTCAAACTTAATAAAAGAGAAATATATATACTTATTATATTATATATGTTAAGAAATCTTGAATAAAGTGTTAAAATAGAGTTGTGATTCTTAAGGTATGAGTAATAATAGGATAGGTATAGCCAACACATTTTTTTATTTATACAAAGTTCTTTAATTGACTTGCATGTATCTGATTGAATATCTTCTCCCTGCTATCTTTAAAATTAAATAAAGCTTATTCAATTAAATTAAATTTTAATGAAGCTTAATTCAGTCGAAAATGAAATCATTTTCTTTTCGATAATTTTTAATTTGACTTGTAGTGTGAAAATATATCTTAATTAATATAAATTAAATATATCTTAAAATATTTATTAAGGGATAATTCTCTCCGTATAAAGTTCAACGAAAAGGTAGACAGGGAATCTGAGGTATCCTAATTCAGATACACAGAGCACGACAAGTTCATTTGCACCAGACTGTGAACGCGCTATACAAAATCAAGACTAGAGATATAAAGATATATCTAGCTAGATATAAAGGTTCATCTCAATGGCATTATCATCGCGCTACTTCGCAACGTTATCTCGTTGTCGAAAGAACGGTGTTGATCGCCGTTATCTCATTATATCGACATAGTACGCGAATACACTAACACGCACGCGGGCACGCACGCACGTACACGCACGCACGCGCCAGCACCCACGCAAGTATAAGTTAAGGTATTAGCGAGATTATAAGATTAGAGGTGGTGCGAGAGAGGCCATGCAGGAGAGCTACGTGTATAAAAGCTACAAAAAAGAAAAAGAAGCTGCTTCGTCACGCGGTGAAAAAGAAAAAAAAAAGGAGAGAGAAAGAAAGAGACAGCGAGATAAGAGAGAAAGAAAGAGAGAGAGAGAGAGACAGAGGCGCAATTTGACTCGATGCTCACCATTCTCGTACTCGGTATTTTCTCTTTATCACGCAGCTCGTACTATGTGATAAAGTAACAACGGTATATTGTTCAATGGTTGCCTCCGGTTGGCTCGTGCTCGGCGGGGCTGGCGGGAGCGGGGTGTGTCGTGTGTTTCTTTTCTCTTATTTTCGTTTTCGTATAAACATTTGTATATACATTTTTTTTCCTCATTTTCGTACAAGCTTCGTCTCCTTCCTTGGCGAAAGGGCCTTGAAGGCAGGACGACGAAGGGCCGAGGATGCGAGTTTCGTACGCAAAGGCTCGCCGTCACAGAAACAGAGGGAGAAACGTGCAGAGGGTGACAATGCACGCTTCAACAATCTACTTCCGTGGATTCAGACAGTCGCGTGTCGTTCAGTTCCGGTCAAAATCACGGTCAAGTCACGTGTATTGAAAACGTAATCTCCGAGGGTTCGCACTTTGCACTCTGCTACGGATGCACGAAAATAATATTTCCATATTTACTCGCGATAATGACACAATAATTTATTTTCATTCATAGCACGTTCAAATCTCAACTTATCGAATTTATCCATATATCAATTTCTGATTACTGAATTCAAAATAGACTCGCGCGGTAATTTGCATCGATTTCGCAACTTTGACCGGACTCAACGGTATGACTCCGTTTCTGCATCTTTGAAAGATATGCACGTCACTCGTACATTGATCTGTCTACACACTGAAAGGTAATGGGGAAACGTGTGTTATATTCGTTAATGAAAGACACGCTTGGTTTTGTTTTGTTTCCAGTTTTATCTTTCCCTTTTTTCCACTTTTAATGGCACTTAATACAGATGGTACAAATGATCCTATAAACTAGCGTAAGTATTCGCATAGAAGAAAAAAAAATAAATGGAAAAAGAAGAAGAAAGAAAAGAGAGAGAGAGAGAAAGAGAGAAAGAGAGAGAGAGAGAGAGAGAACAATTCAATCGATCGGACGTGACGAGGTTGGCCAGTCACACCGGGAGACGATGAGGAAACGGATTCGGGGAAAAGGATTAAAATTTAAACGTGGACTCGACTAAAATTTTGAACCGTCGTTCGCACGATGATGCACGACGGTGATACGACAAGTAAGGTCAGGTAAGGACGGATCTTTTTCGAAGAGGACAGAGAAACATGCGATGACATACTCGCCTACGGTAATGACAGACTCCAAAGGTGGGAATAGAACAGTCTGGTCCTAAGGGACCGTCTAGATTCAACTATCGGGACACAAAGGACCGTCTAGATCTAATTTTTACGAGGGAGAAAAACAAAAAGGAAACCGAGGCGGACGAGATTCTCTCTTCGTCATGCATCGGGAACTTGAAAAAGGGGGGAGGGGGTAGGGAGGGGAAGTAAGGAGGAAACGTAGAAAAACGCGGTTCACTCTGTCGGACACGCTGTACACGTATACGCGGCGTAAGACGCGTGTTCTCCGGTATCCTGGAAGTTTGTGCAGGCAGCCGGCTTCTTCCGAGCGTTGCTGGAGGCGCGATTGACCAAGAGAAGAATCATGCCGATGGATCACAGGGCATTTGTGTACGACGGTTGGTCGGTTGGTCGGTCGATTTTTCAGTTTCGCGCACGTGGAGGGTGTCTTTACGTGGAAAGGGTAGAACAACAGAGATGCTTCCGACGTGGGGCCACGTTGGTAGTGGTATGCTACTCAGGAATAAGGGAAGAAGAGAGGGTGTCGAGGGTCGAGGTTGACGGGCGACGGCAGATGCACTCACTCGTTCTTCGCTTGAAGATGCTCGCCTTGGTCCATGGACAGGCAGCCAGCTCCGCCACCGAAGCCGTAGCCCTTAGGGCCGAACTTGCGGCCGTGGCAGACTTTGCAAAACAGCTCGCCCTCGTGCTCGGTGCAGTTTGTCGAGTCGAGCGGTTTGCCGCAAAGACCTGCAACACACGGTCGTCGTCCGTCGTTGGAGATTACGGCGCTTCCTGCTGGTTGTACTCGAGTGTGTCGAGGTGTTGTAAAGTACGGGTTACCGTAAACTGTACTGTGCTATCTTTGGATATATACTTGATGATAATGATTTGACTTATTTTTTAATTCTGCGAATTATTGAAGTGTACTCTCTAAATTTTTTCGAATGACTTTTTACTCTTTTGGAGTGAAATTCACTCCAGAAAATTTAGAGGTATATAATGAGCTTTGTAATGTTTTCACTGCATTTCTTTATCGAAAAATGGCTCGTAGAGTATAAAATATTGTATCTCTAAATGTAAATATTGAAGTGCTATTATCTTTCATAAAAAAATATGTTACATATTTTCTAAAATTTTACATTTATAATTATATATAATATATACATATATATATATATGTGTGTGTGTAATTGTATTTACATATATATTACGTATACACACGCCATACACAGTAAAATTTATTGCAGAGTAAATTTATTGCACAGTAAAATGAAACTAAGTGTTATTACAATAAATATTTCCAAAATACTTTACTGTAATAACTTTAAGTGACATCATAAGTTGACTTATAATTCATTTCTCCAAATTCACGCTTTCTAGGAAATAGTTATTATGTATGCATATTTTCAAGATATGGCAATTCGACGGTGAGATTATTGTGAATTGTTATTCACATATCGGTCATTGCACCCGAAAGCATTACCGGACAGTCGACAATTGATTTTGGCCAACCCGCAGGCCCGATTACATCGCGACAGGCTATTCGAGCATAAAATGTATTTTAAACCAGTCTAAAAATAGGAAACTCGATAATGCCTTCCGTAAAGGAATTATTCGGCCATTCTTACAGAATATCATAGAAAAGCGTACTATTCAAATTCAGATGAAAAGATAAGTTTTAAACCAATTTAGAAAAATTAAGGATTTCATATATAGCTTTTATTAATAAATTCTTCATAGATAAAATTAAACTTCTCAAAAAATATCGCAGTCTTAAATTTATTCTGACTAATTTTAACAGCGATTGCCCAAGAATGCGCTATTTCGATTTATGCTGTTTTTATCATAAAAAATTACAACTGGCACAAATACCATTTTTACATAAAAATTAAATTAACTATATGTATAAATTATAAAAGTTCTTTGCAAACAAGCTCACAAAAATGTACCTGTATTGTATCTGTATTGTTTTCACGACAAATGCTTTTACTCTCTTCATATATATATATAATAGAATTAAATATATATTATCTACATTAAAAATTTTGTGTATGTAAATATTATACATATCTTTTCCTTTTAAGTTACAAAATATGTTACAAAATAAGTTACACCGATTCTTCTGTTATATAGTTTCTGTTTCAAAGTATTGATTCATATTGTACTGATGTAAATAAAACAGCACTTGTTTGCATTCTATTTCCAAATTACAAAATTATGTTTGTTTACTCACCGCACTTGAAGCACGTTTTGTGCCATTTCAGTCCACCGGCAACTCGTTCTTCTGCGGCGTAAACGGATTTGCCACATTTAGGGCATTTTGGATGTTCCACGGGCTTGAAAGGCATCTTTATACTGAAAAGAAAACTCTCCGTTATCGTTCGTATTTTATTGCACCGCGGATATTAGTCGTAAAACTATTCATCGTCATGTCAAGTCAAGAAATTATTGTAGTTTTCAATTATTACTTTTTATTGTTGCACAACCGAAAAAATAAAGTAATCCTCTGGTAATTATTTTATAACGCTATTATAATTAAAAATATATTATTGTCTTTATCTAAAAATAACTTTTATTCTTTTTAAAAAATATCGTGTTGAAAAATCAGAATGAAAGCACCACACTATTTGATCGCGAAGATACTTTCTAAAAAAAATTCATAATTTTGTAATCAAATAAATTCGCAATCAAATTCAGCATCTTTATTAATATCGAGAGGAATCATCGCCGGTACGGTAACCCATTTCGGTTACCTAACCGCGGTCGCTTACGAGGACGTAAACAATCCGCGTTTTCCGTCTGACTCGTCGGCAACCAGTTCTATTTTTGTAGCCAGCTTAAAGCGTGCGCACGGTTGAGCAAATGGATAGGGAACGAATGTATAGAAAGGGGGATAAAAGTATATCACGCGCGATAGAGAGCATGGAACAAAAATCTACAGACGTGTGGCAAACATGTAAATAAAAACGCTTGTTTTTCGCTTTACATAAAGAAAATTTTAATAACTCGATTCGGATATTTAAAAAATTGAATATGTTTTCTGAATTCTGAAACACTAATAGAGTAATAGAGTAAAGAAATTAGAAGAAAAAATTAAAGAGAAAATATGTTTGAAATTGTTTAAAGTTTAAATATCAATAATTTAATTTATTAGACAAGAGAATAAAAGATTTTCCAGATTTTTTTTCAAATTACAAATTAAGCTAAGAATACATAAATAATGAGAGGATGTTGATGAATTTGCTGTACAAATTTGTACGATTTGTAGACTTTGTAAGAAAATAGTATTATATACATTTGTTATTATAATATTATTTATTATTTTAAAAAATTTTGATAACTTTCGATAACAATGCAAAGTAGAAAATTTTAATTATTTAAAATAGATGTTTACGCCCACCGCGTAAATTACTGTTGCCGAAAGTGCAGAAGTAAACGGCTGATTGACTGCACGCTTGTTGCAATGAGAGGAGTGACGGTATCTGGCATGAACATTAATGGTTGTGCGTAATAGCGTTTGGCAGTGCTAGTTAATCATATATCTATAGCAATGACATTTCGTTTTAATGGCATATAAATGTAATAGCAATAGTAATAATAAGCAAAAATAATAATATTGTATATTTGGCACAAAGTCGTATATCTAAATTCTAATGCACATCAATATCTTTAAAAATTAAATAATAAATATAATTATAATAATAGAAGTAATAGACATAAGAATAAACTAATTATTTTAAATATATTGTTATTTAATAGTATTTGCGGTACACTAAAATGTATGTATTCTTTCTACATATTTTATAATGCATAATTTAAAAAATCTGGTTTTTTATTCTCATGTTTTTTTTTCTTCTACCTAAACAGTTAACCACACGTCAAAAATAGCTTAAATTATTAAATACTTAAATTATTTTCATTATTATATAATTGTCGTACGCGTTATATTATATATCACATTGTAAGAATTTAATTTTTAAATGCAAAAAAAGTGTATGGATATTATTTCATGTATAATAAAAATACAAATCTATGTGATAGTGAAAATGTTAGACGACTGTCGAATGTGCTATGTTATATCACTTACAATGAAAAAGTAGAGTTGGAAAAGTAGAGCTATACTACTTTTTCACTTAAGCATGAAATTTATTTTACAATATTTTCGAATATTTTATAATATTATCTTTATTTTCCAGTTTTAACTGAAGTTCTTATTTATTGTTAGATATAATAATTAATTATGAAATATTATTTTTAGATATACGTATAAAAGAAATAATATAAATAGGAATTTAAATATATATATATCTATTTATCACATACATTGTGTTTGTGAAATTAATTATTTAAAATACATCATAAGAAAATTAGATTGATTATTAATAAATAACTTAAGGTAGATTCAAGATATTACGATATAACTTTTAACGGTTGAAAAGCATTGAAAAGTAAGTTAATTTCATATTTATCCAAAAAATAATATCATCTATGTATATGCGCGCGGGTCAACAGGCTTAGCAGCAAAGCCATTTTATACTAGGGTCAGTCTTCTTTTGCCTTGCTCTATATATATATAGAGTCAAATTAAACAAAATTTGACAAAAATCGTTTTATAAAACACTAAATATATGTATGTATATATATATATATACATACATATATTTAGTGTTTTGTAAAACAATTTTTATCAAATTTTGTTTAATTTAAAGATAATTAAAGCAACACAAAATAAGCCGTTAATGAAATGCTCCAGTAGCCGCGTAAAAACAATACATCTGCTATAACTGTCACTAATTCTAATTAATATTAATAATAATCAATTTTTAATTAAATAATTAAATAATATTTTAATTATCTTGAAAGGTTAATTTATTCTTTATTTTATATCTATGAATGATTATGTTTCGGAATATGTATGCCGTAACGCGTTTCAGCTGCACAAATTCGCTTTGTTACTACTGACAGTAGTATCCGGTAACGATATGACACGCCAGTAGTAGCGGTCGTAATAGAGGCTACAGTAGTAACAGACGGCATCGCGCGGCACGCTAAGGAGAAAGAGACCGGAAGAAAGAGAGAGAGAGAGAGAGCGAGAGAGAACGCGGGCGATTCTATATCCGTGCAGACGCGTGCAGGCGAGTCCGCGAAGCCGTATTAGGGAAGGCGCTAAGTTCTCCACGATAGCAGTCTCCTCGTTTTACCCCTACCGTTCAATCGCATGCATATTCGTGGATGGAATGCGCGGTAACCTAACGCGTGTCCTGTCACGCCGATAGGGCTGCAAAAGTGTCCCTACGTGCGTCGAAGTGTTACGTTACATGCGAAAATATAAAAACCAACACTAACGCTAATTCAAAAAATTTATAAGATTTATAAAGTTTTAAGATCCATTATTTACATTATAAATATCTTTCAGTTTTACGTATAATTTATATACATTATACAACATAATTAATTATTGTATAATACATGTCTCGCTAATGTATTTGTATAAATTTGGTATAATTAAATTACAGCTTAAAATGTACAAATTTTAGAAATTTACATAACCTATTTAAATACAATATAATGCAATGTTATCATCGAAACTTTCATTATTAAAACTTAAATTTTATATGTTGTATTTATATTTGCATATATTATTAGCGATATTAAAAATATACAATATACATTGAACTATGAACTGCACAATCTTTGCTCAAAGGAAATTTTAAACATAAAAAATTAGGAATGTCTAACCATTCCTAATTTCCATTTCAACAATTTCTTAAATTGAAATGAGTCATATATGATTGAAAACATGCGCAATATTCTGACGAGAGCTATAATTAAATGGAAAATATGTATAATAATGATATGAAACGGCCAAGAACAGAAAGCAATTGTATAGCGATGTGGTAAGTGTTGGCACTAACAAACGTGGTGTGAATCATCGACTTGATAATTATCATAAATTCTAATTTTACAAAATATTTGAACTTTACATTTGTAAAAAAGCAGATAATTTACCAAGTGAAACATTGCTTTTATTATTTTATCTTATTTTTTAAGAAAGTTTATCAAATAAATTGTGATATTTTTTTATATATTCTTATATACTTAATATGTCTGAGATGTATACAAGATGCATAAATTTTGTATGCATATTTCGGCTTTATTTCTGAAGTTCCGTTACAATCAATTATTTAAGAAACTCTTACTTAACAATTTATGCAATAATTTTAATTTTAATTAAATAATAATTTTTTATACACATACATTCTATTGTCCAATTAATGTAATTATTTTAGAAAGAAGTGCATTTTCAATAATATAATTTATTACCACACACACACACACACACACACACACACACACACAGAGTCAGAATAAATAATTTTTCTCGATAAAAAGTAATTTAATTTAGCTTTGTAAATATCTAAAAATATTATCATAGTATTGTGTTTCGAGTTAGTTTACTAAATCATGTTTGGATAGTGTAAGTAAACGGATGGAACTGAAAATCCTAAAAGTAGCTCATGCTACAAAGAAATCCTAGCATCCCGATGACTTGCATGACGATATTAATAATTTTGGTCATTAATATACGTATAAGCATTTTAGATGAAACGTTATTATCTCATGTTACATCACGACCTGAACGAAGGAAACAAAATTATCACGATACACGAGAATCTCCATCCTCCTATGCCTGCGCATTACTCTTCGAATATTAGCTTGTTAAGTATAATAACGTCCAAATTAACTGTTGAAATTATAGAAGAAATTAAGGTCTTTCCTTATTTATAACAAATTAACGATACGTATAACGTATTCTTAAACATCGCTAACTTCCTTTTATCGCGTTAAACATATATATAACTAATAATCTTTTAATATATTCGTTGGAAAATCCATGTTCTTATCTAGCCTTGCATTTTGCAATTAACTATCAGCTTGCAAGTAATGTGTTATAATGATTTTAATCAAATAAGCATCGGAACCATTTGATTAATTGCACTCGCTCTACATGATATCTTCGTTGATTTTATTTGATAATTTAATTTGATTAGCCAGTCGACGCGAGACTGTTTCAGTAACTATTAATAGCGGGCAGAAATGCGTGCGTATTTTTAAAACTAACGAGGTTGGTAACTCGAATACATGTGACAATAATAACTTTTATGATTGTGTGGCACGCAGCTTTATTTTATGTAAAATTTATTTAAAGTTACTGAGTATTGCAAATATTGCTTATGGTCTATGTTAAAGTTTTAATAAAAAGTTTATGTTAATTGCGTTTTAAATATTTATTCCTTATAGAGAAGTATCGTTGATATTATTTATAAATTTATATAATCCACTAGAACTTGTTAAATTTGATCAACTGAAATTCATGTATTACATATATAGGTATTATAATTAAAAGTAGAAGATTTAATTTTTGCATATAAAATTTGATAATAGGGTAACTGTCCCTATTAGTGTGCCCTGTACCTATTAGTGTGCTTTTATATTTAAATAAGTCATAAAAATAAACCGATACAAATATATAGACAAAGTATTTTTTTATTAAGTTAATATGTATTAACTTTCTAAAAAAAATACTTTGTCTATTTATTTGTACCAGTTTAGTTTTATAACTTATTTAAATATAAAAGCACACTAATAGGGACAGTTACCCTATTCCACTATTTTTATTCCTTCATCTTCCTTCAACGTCTCACGATCAGTGGGCAAATCGGCGAATAGCTTGATTTGTCAATTTTATTAATACCTCGTATGTCTAATTATAACGTAATATAGAATCTATGTTCAGTAATCGTGGCTCTATTTTAATGCCTCTGCACGAGATTAGATATTAAAGTCATTAGATTTTGCAGCATGCCATATTCATGTTAGACAGCACAGACATTCCTTGCCCTGTCCATCTATGCGATTCGCCAATTACCGTTAAATCTTAACTTCGTTTATATTATTAAACAGCGATGTAAGATGTTTTACTTCAAATTCGAAATTGGCTTTCGACGGAATCGTCAAAATCCTTCAACATATAAAAATATATCCTCGCTAAAATCTTCTCGACTTGATAAGATTAATTCACTCATTTACGTACATTTGAAATACATTTTTTCTTTTCCTCCTTTTTTTACTTTTTTTTGTTTTAATAAGTTAAAAATGCACTAATTTCAAATAAAAAAAATGTTGTATAATTTATAAAAATAATAGTTATTTTCTAAAATTCAAAATTATTTGAGACTCAAATTGTTTAATCAAGAAGTTTATCAATTTTATCAAGAGAGACTAGCAATTTAGCCGTATGGGTAAATTGGCAAATTTGTTATTTTATTAATAATTAATAATAATTCCATAAAGATAAATCTTCATTAAATATTTGTATAAAATAAATAGAAAATCAAGATTGTTGAACTATACAATTTGACACATTTGTAATATAATTACTGTCCAAGAAAGATCTTCACCCGACTAAAGTGATCTTTATAAAGAGTCCCGGAAATTATCTGCGATATGACAATTCACCCACAGTAGCTGACCTGATGTACGTGCGCTCGATGAATATCTTTCATGGCACTCATATGAATCTCAGTACTTCATCAGAAGGAGACACACGAGGAAAACAGACAAATCACGAGGCTGAGGTAATTCACGCTTGCAATAATTCTAAACGTGCACTTCTTCGAGCGATACAGATGTTTGTGTATTGTCGTTGATGTCGTCGGTATATATTGCGGCATCGATCGATGCAGCTAATTGTAAGAAGAGTATCGTCATCGATAGCAGTACAGAGGTGTCTGATATAGTAGTAGCAGTAGTAGTATAGTATACGTATCCGCCACACTGTTATCTCTTGGTACTCACCACTAATCGATCGTAGTCGCGCGAGAAAAAGAAAAGAACAGATAGAGAGAAAGACGAAGAAAGAGAGAAAGAGAGAGAGAGAGAGGAGAATTCGAGTAAGTGGATTACAAAACACCGAGCACTCTACACCGCACTAATACTGGATTCGAATGACTATGCTCGCGTCGGGAGCGTCCTAGTCATAGCCCCCCAGGCTTTGCACACGGCACGTGTGCATTGGGAACGTCAATGCTGTTGATGATGCTGCGCCGCCGGTGGCGGTGACGGCGAAAGGGGATTCTTTGCTGAAGGAAGATCCAGGACTTTGGGCCGAAATCATCTTCACGAGTTTGACGCACATGTCAAAACAAGTCTAACAATAAATTTCTGAAAATAAAACACTTCGAAATTTAATTAATTTTTAATTATAATCTGACAAGTTCCGATATCTTTTATTATTTGTGAATCTATATTATGTCTTTATATTTCGTTTATTTTTTGTAATAAACGTATTTATTTAATTTTTTTAATTTTTCAATAATAGTTGATTCAATTTTCTTTTCGATTACTACATGTTACTGCATGTTATTTTATTATATATCATATTTTATATTAAGATTTAATAAAATTTTTATTTATAAATTTTGCAATATCTAATATCTATTTATAAATATTAATATTATTGAATAAACTTTCCAAAACTTGACTATTTGTATATAACTAATTTAATTATTTAAATTTGAAATAGCTTAATTAAAAATATCTTACTAATTAATGTATCTATCTTATTATATATATATCTTATTAATTAATGACTATAATAATATTAATATTTACTGTGTATTCTATTCACTTAATAACAAATATAAAATTAAAAACAGATAATAAATAGGTATTATCAAAAATTGAAATCCATCATTTATTTTAAGATAAAAGAAAGAACTAACATTCTCTTCATGGTTTAAAAAAAAAAAAAAATTTTAAAGATAGATAAGAGTAAAAGTCTAATAAAAAATAAGAAAGAAAACATATAAAAAGTTATATGTTTTCGAGAATAAATACATTATTTTTCCTTGTTCAAATCAACGAAAGTATTAATGACTTTTTGTTTTGAAAAAAAATTCTCATTCAAATACAAAATTTGAAATGCAAATACAAAATTCTCATTTGTGTTATATCTTAGAATGACATTAATTACTGTAAAATGTTACAGAATTGAGAAAAAGGTCATAATACATAAATAGTATGACAAATTATAATATATTTCAGTAGCTGGCATGTCACAGAACTCTCAACATATCGAACATGACCTGTCTGCAAAAAGAAGCAACAGAAATGCCTCGCAGTCTAGTGAGTAACACTTACATATATCATAGATTAGTAGTACGTTATATTTATCCACGACAATATTAAAAGTGAATCATTGTTGCGATATTATTATTTTTATTTGGGCAAGATTAATTCGAGAACATTTTAAATAATGAAAGGTTTACTAACGAATGTTATATAAGTAAACCCGAAAATATATATATTTTGAAGACAATCCTGGATTACGAATTATATATATCATAAAAAAAACAAAATTTATTTTACATTTCCTTTGTTTAGCTACTTTTTTCTAGAAAGTCAAGAATATTTTAAAATAAACATTATAGCGCTGAAAAAATGTTTTGATTATACAAGATGTATTAACATCAAGATGTTCGGTGGAATATATTTTGATGAGACCAAATAAAATTTCTGGTCATAATTGAATTTGATATTTTGTAGCTAGAACATTTGATAGATTATGAGTCCTTAATTATAAGAACTTGATTAGTACTTTCGATCAGGTCCATAAAATTTTTAGTAAACAGTCCCAGTAGATGTTTCTTTGATTAAAGAATTATGCTGACCTAATTAAATAAATTTAGTATCATTATTAGAAGAAGTTCTGAAATATTTAATTGGAAAAAATTAATCAAGCTCATCTAGTAATTTTTAAAAGAAATTTGATTCATTTTTCAACAGACATACTGGTTAAATTTACCGCAGATTTCCAATTCATGCAACTAAATTTTTTGTTTAATGAAGAAATTTCAATTTTTCACACACGCATTATTATTTCTCAGACTAAAATTCTCGATGTTAAAATCTTTGAGATTAAATTTTGGATTTTTTTCTTTATAATTGATACGCACGATATTACTAAAAGTTATTAAAATTGAAATAATGTATGCAGATATAGTGCTTAAAATAGGATGTATATAATATTTATGCACCGAGAAAGCTATATTATATTAAAATACATGTTTGAACATTACAAGATCCACTTTAGAAAATGCAAATCTCCGCGGATTCATGACGGAAAATTCCGCCTTGAGGATTACGTACGGTCGAGGCGGAAAGTAAAAATATATCGAAGAGGGCAAACGCGAAGAATTTCGAAGGGTATAACCTACAGTTAGTGAAACATAGCAAAAATATGCGGAGCTGTCATTTAAACGACTCCCACATGCTTTTTTCTATAAATATCCTCGACTTTATAAATATAATTTTAACAAGTGTTAATTATTATTATACTGATGATTGAATTTTACAAAATATGATGGACAATTATTGTAGATATGTAGAGTTTTCGTGTAAAAGCCAATAAACTTTTTATTAAATTTTAATTTATGTTACACTAAAACGGAATTATTTTTTTATGCTATTATGTTCTACATAATTCCTATCATACATTTTATCTCTTTGCATTTTTTATTACAAAATAATTTCCCTAATTTTTTCGTGTTATTTGCTACATTAAATTGTGTTGCATTGTCAATGCGCAGACATCGAGATAACTTATTTTAAATATTTGTAAAGAATTTTTAATTAAGATAATTATCAAAGTTAAGCAAAATGATCGATGCACGCTTTAAAATTTAATTCAACAATTGTCGAACAATGATAAACCGCAGGTATTTTTTTGCAATCCATCGTGCTTAGGAATCTTCAACCGACCTACAAATCCTCGGCTAACGGGTATTTTCCGCGTTCCCGAACACCCTCGTTTCGACCGCGGGATTCCTCATTTCGACGTGGAGAGTGCGCGAGAGTGGTAGTGCACGAGGGGATCGCGATCTCTCGCCTTTTCGCAACGAGGCACCGCCACCGTGCCTCGGTGAGAGCGCCGTGGTAAGAAGCCGCGCGCGGCCACACACTCATCGTCTAATAATAATATCTTACTCAAATTTCTATTTTTAGGAAGATATACGTGTGCGCGCACGTGCCTTTATGTAAAAGGCCCAAGTATATGGTTACGCACGCGCCTACGTGCGGGTTGCGCTTACGGTTATGAAGACGACGACGACGACGACGACGACGACGTTTCGAATTATTATTGCATACCCGGCGGAATGTAATGTCTGTCGTGGATCTAACAATGTAACAGTCAGATGAATAACACAGAGTGGCACCGTTAAAAACTCACATGATACAGCAAACCTTCAGAGTCCTTAAGAATAATATATAATAAAATTTTTATGTTAAGTTTTATCCCATAGTTGCAATTTTAAACTGCATTTAGGATAAGTGGATATGTTATTATAACTATTGAATCGAATACGGTAATTTTTTATAACAATTAATATTAATAATTTTTTTATTGTCTATTGTATAATCCCTTTTAGCAAGTGATATATACTTTGTAAAATTTACATATAATATAATGCAAGCAAAAGTGCATTATCTCCATCTTGTGAAAAGCATTAAACTGCAAACTTATTTTTCCTTTTAGTATATTAATACAAAATGTTCTATGTGTCGAAATACTAAAATTACAAGTCTTATAAAAAGAAATTAAAGTAGGCAAAGAGGTAATGTTACATGTAAACTTTTTGAAGGTCATTTTCGACGATGTTAAGATACAGCCTGCGATTCTCTTTGAATTTTTTAACTATAGAAATGGCATCGTTTTAAAGAAATTCAGAAGGAATCACAAGCATTAGTGCAGGTCATTGCGAGAAGGATTTCCAGGAAGTGCTTCAGCAGTGGCGGAATTGCTGGAATTAATGTGTCAATGAATTGAATTACTTCGAGGGTGATAGTGACCAATAGAACTTATGGTGCATTTTGAATTTTTTATAGTGTCAGTATTTGTAAATCGTACATCAACATTTTTTTTTCAAAATTTGTAATTTTAATATCTAGATATTAAACGTCATATATTAAACATAGAATATTTAAAATTAAAAATAAAAAAATGTTATGAGAGAGAGAAAGAGAGAAATTATGATTTTGACGTTTTATTATAAAGATTTATGTCTCAAGATCAAATTAAATATAAAAAATTTATGCTCAAGATTTTATACAATATTACATGTTGTACTGTACGCAAAACTAATTAAAAAAATAAAAATAGAAAAAGTCTAAATGTACTAAAAAAATTTATTTGTCGCTTTAATAAATAATTTATTAATTAATTTATTGCACAATGTTTTTACATACGCCGCGGCGTATACATCTATAAAGCGCCTGCATGAGTACGATCGTATCTCACTTTTCTCTCTCCTTCAGCGCGCTCCCGAAACGTTGCGTTAAACCGTTTCTGTTATCCCGCTAACTCGAATTTACTCGCCTAGCAGGCGGTGCTCGTTATTCGCTAAGCTTGACAAGTTTACGCGCCGCGGACTATTTGCTCGCGAAAGTAAACTGCAGCATGCCCGCGCTACGAAGTATGCGTGGACCTTCCGGCGCGGTGGCTACGACGAAGGTGGCCGTGGCTTCCGGTATATTCTCAATCTAGCACACCGGGAATCCGCGGTAATACGCGTCCGCGAGCGTACGGTAAGGCCGCTTCAGCTTTTTACATAAAAGCCGCGAGCGCACTTATCGGCCTGAAAATAGAAATTTGAGCAAGATATTATTATTAGACGATGAGTGTTCTCTCTCGCGGTTCTCAAATCGGTCCGCCCGTTTGTTACCGAGGAGCCGTCGCCGTCGGAGAACGGTCGCCCATACTTCACATCCTCCTCCATCCATCTTTCTCCTTTAATCTATAATTACAGACAGAAGATCTTTTTTTTGTATAAAATTATTTATATCGCTTTGTTATGCGTTATCTTTTCGGGAGATTTTTGTCTCTATTTATTAAAATTATTTATTTAACAAATCAGAGCTTTTAATTTTTTCTTAATACTTTATATCTTTATACATATGTTCATCACAATATGTATTATACATATAATCTATTATACATTTATATATCATTTATATATGAATACAACGTACTAGATACAATTTATATAAATATTTGTATAAACTATTATATATGTAATGTATATATATTTGCCACATACATATTTAAAAGCAAGGCTTTAAAAAATATGATTAATAATATATATATGTCGTCCAAATTGTAACTGTAATTTTAATGGCAATCTTACGTACACTGAGAGAACTCAAACTGAAATAAAAATTCTAATTCTAAGCTAAAATATTGGGTATGTAATATTTTTTAAACAATTTATACGTAAATAAAAAACGTTTAAGAACTTTTGCCGCATCTTTAAGATCAGTTTCTTTTCATATTATTAAAAAAATATCAATTTTGGACTTATTTGTGTCACTTCAATTTTCTCAACGCAGTGAATTGACAAATCAGTTTACAAACCAAAATTCGCATGTTTAGGTGATATATTAAGAGGTGCCTTAAATTTATACACACTATATTATAAAATTAAATTAATTACACATACAATAACGCAATTTTTCGTTAATTAAGTTATATTTTAATATAAATAATTAATTAAAAAAGTGAAAATTGAATAATAAAAAACCAGGAAAGAGAAAGAAAAGGATTACAAAAATAAATATATTTACAAACATTAATAATTAACTGTTAATATTATTACAAATAATTATATTAGAAGACACGCGCGCGCGCGTGTGTGTGTGTGTGTGTAATGTATGTATGTAGATTACATTTTAATTCTGTAACAACTTAATTCTTTTCATGGAATTTGAGAATTAGTTAATTTTTATCTTTCTTACCTATTTTTCTTTAATAATCTCACGTGTTGAGATAATAATTATATACATGTATACTATTTTGCATTGTCATTTATTTATATACATGTAATTAATTTCTTTTATAAATTTATTTATATCTTTGATATTCAATCGGTGAACAAGGAAATATTGATGCTGTTAAATATTTATAAATTTATAAAAGAAAAATATCAATATTTGGTAAAATTAAATTTCTTCGATATAATTTTATGAATTATCAATGATAATTTTTTTACTCAGAGACTATATAATAAATATATAGATGGCATACGATTCTTCATTTACCGACTGCGAGTTAAATATGGTGCGCCGTGCGATCGGTGCGATTGTAATGTGCTGCATGCACATCATGATCACCGACGAGATACTCTTAAAGACCGACAGCCCTGGGCAAATTTTCGTGCCAGCAAATGGACCCGGTGGGCCCGGAGGTAATTGCAGAGTGTCGATGTTATCAACTTTTGACATAAATTTGCGATTTATTTGAATAATACATTATTAAGATCATAATTTTTATTATATAAATGCTTTATAAATATAAGTATGAATACTTATAATGCTATAATATCAAATATATTGCTGCAAAATTACATTTTTTTTCCAACTGTTTTACCATCTCTCTGGATAATCAAACTCGTGTGGTAACTATAAAAATGCAGTTTTAAATAAAATTAA